GGATGACATCATCCCGGTCTGCCGCGAGCTGGGCATTGGCATCGTGGCTTACTCGCCCCTCGGCCGCGGCTTCCTCACGGGTGGGCTCTCATCTTGACACACTGCGTGGAATAAAGATGTGCATTGCAGGGCCGCATCCGCCAGCAGTACATGTCCAGGGGTGCAGCGGCTGCCCTGGACGGATGGCGGTCCCTGCACTCCTGAACGGCTATGGTTGGTGCAATGCTGCATCTGCTGCAGACGGCAGGCATTGCAATGAATTTGGACTCTGGGGCAACTGCGGGGCAGCAACAGACACAGGGCAAGGCGTGCAATTGGTCCAAACACAGCTCTAACTTTTGTGGCAGGCGGGCATGTGCAGACACGTGGGACGCATGGGAGCTTTGTCAGGGTTTCTGATCATAGCGGTGCTTCAGGCGGACCGCAGCAGCATGCAAAAAAAAAAACAACGCCTTATTGCCTTCGCCAAGACTTGTTCTTTTGTCTCCCACATGTTTTACTGCCACGCGCAACACGGGTAACCACACCCACTCACGAAACATCTTGTGTTTTGCTGTGCCACCTCGTTGTTGCGCCCACCTTCATTCCAGGCGCGCTGCCGCCGCCCGACCAGCTGCCAGAGGGGGACATCCGCCGCGAGCGACCCCGCTTCAAGGCATACGAGAAGGCGAGGGGGCGCCCGATCGACAGGCGCTGCCGCTGCCGCTGCCCGCGGCCGGTCGCTACCGCCGACTGCTGATTGCATCGTTTGGTTGGATGCGTGCCCAAGTTCATGCTTTCTGCCCAAGAGCTACCCATCACCTGTGGCCGCAACTCTGAGCTCATCTACATCTCTCCCGTGCATTACCGTAGTGTGACAGATCAACCGCCACAACCTCAACAGATCCCCCACACGTCTCCCTCCACCCTCCAACGTTGGAGGGTTAACCCTCAACCCCCCAGAACATTGCTCTGGTGGAGAAGATCAAGGGTGTGGCTGCCGCCAAGGGCTGCACCCCCGCGCAGCTGGCGCTGGCCTGGGTCATCTCCCGGGGCAGCGACGTCGCTCCCATCCCCGGCACCACAAAGGTGGGCGCGGCGGGTCACGCCGAGGGTGGTCGATGAGGGCAGGGACGGGGATGACGGGCCAGTCAGGGCTAGGTGCAGAGGGGGGCACTCAAGGGCAGGTTGTCAAGTTTCATGCAGGAGAGAAGCCGCTATGGCACAGCAGGAAAGCGAATCCCGCGAATTCTAGAGACGCGACGTCAAGCCTGTTGCGGCACGTTGTGAACAAATACACCTTGCTAAAACAGCTCTAGTATCCCTGGTCAACGCAGTCAAACACGTCGTCTCTCTTGGTCAAACCCTGCAGGTGGCGCGTCTGGAGGAGAACGTGGGCGCGCTGGGTGTGGAGCTCAACACTGCTGACCTGGCGGCGCTGGAAGGGCTGGGGGCAGAGGTGGTGGGGGACCGCTACGATAACATGAAGGGTGGGTCCATGGGAGGGGAGGGGCTGGGGGCGGAGGTGGTTGGGGACAATGGTGAGAACGTGAAGGGCGGGTCAATCGGCAAGGAGCTTGAGGGGCTCAGCAGCCTCGCGACCAGCGCTTGATTGCGTTGGTGAATTTCGTGCGAGACCGGCGCGCCTTGATTTGCTGCGCGGTTGAGCTGAATCATTCAGCTGGTCGGCGTGGCAGCAGGTGAGGGCGGCGGTCGTTAAGTGGGAACCGGTAAGTGTTGAAGCATCTGCATTTCGCAAGCTGCACCTGCGTGATGTTCGAGTCACAAGGTGCCAACAGCCCCTCGGCCAACAGCGGCGTGGTCAATCCTCCCTGCTGCCGGATTGGCAATCGCCCCCTCCCCCCCCCCCGCAGCTTCGTCGTACCACTACGGTCGCAAGTGAGAGGCGCTGCGGCTGGCCCCTCCTGTGACTGGCATTGGGCAAGAGCTGCTGCAACAAGCGCATACGTATGTGTGTGAGCGCGTCACACGGTGCGCTCTTCCTTGCAAGAAAATACTGGGCCGATAGAGAAATTTAATACTGGGCCGATAGAGAGATGTCAACGGGCTGCGCATTACTTGCTGGCCATGTGCTGAACTTCAAATTACTCGCACAACCTTTTTGCATACACTGGCATCAATTATGGTAATGCCGGCAGCGAGCCCCCTGCAGGTTGTGACAGTGATGGTTTGGGGCCAAGTGCCCCCTGACAAGACCAGCAAGAGCGGACGGATGGTGTAAACCACGCATTGAAGCGCCACGCGTGTTGCCGACCACACATCATTTGGCTCATTGGCCGCAGCACAATGGCGATATTGCCGTGTCTGGCGACCCTCACGTGATGCACTCTTCCCACCGGGAATCTGGCAGATTGCTTGTGAGCAGGCAGTTGGGAATTCGCTTCACAGCAATGCAATGAATGACCTCTTCAAGGTTCGAAACCAGCAACAATGTGTCTCAGTTGCAATTATATGTGCACATTGCCACCGCCCGGGCTCATCATTCGCTGATGCGTTGTGTGTCAAGGCCCCGTGCGCCGCCTGTCACTTGCGACCATAGTGGTATGTCATGCCTGCGGGTGTTTGTTAAGGGGGGGGGCGCGAGAAGGGGGTGGGAGGGGTGAGCGATTTAGGCCGCAGCATGCCTAGAGACACTGAAAACCAAGCACCCATCAAAGGACATACAAAGCTGGGATGTGAGGTCCATTGAAAGACCTCAGCCCTGAGCCCTCAGAACGTAACCCTCAGCCCCCCTTTGCAGCGAGCGACAAAGAGCAGCGCTGTCCCTTGCGCGTCCCCCCCCGAAAGCACGAGACCTCGCTGCAGCCAGCCCCAGGATGACATTGCACCCCAAAATAATGCGAGATGGGTGCGGCAGGCGCGGCGGCCCTCCCATGGACCCGCCCTTCATGAAGGAAAATTACCCCGCACCCACATCCACCCCTCGGCCCTCCCGTGGACCCACCCTTCATGTTGGGGTAGCGGTCCCCCACCACCTCCGCCCCCAGGCCATCCAGTGCCGCCAGGTCAGCAGCGGTGAGCTCCACGCCCAGTGCGCCCACATTCTCCTCCAGGCGCGCCACCTGCGGGGTTTGACCGCGAGGTTCGAGGTGGTCGACGGCGTTTGACCGCGTTTGACCGGGGTGAAGCTCATCCTGTTCAATCCACTATGACTGCACATTGCGTTATTAACAGGGTGAGCGAATTCGAAAAATGCTCTGTAAAGTCAATGGGCGTTAAGTGAGTGCATCCATTGGCTTCCCTCAGGCTGCATCTCTCCTTCCCTTTCAGCCCCCCGGCCGCAAATCACCGTACTGCTTGCATCCCGGCCCCCCACACACAAACTCTCGCGGCTCGCTGCAGCGCACGTTCACCTTTGTGGTGCCGGGGATGGGGACGACGTCGCTGCCGCGGGAGACGACCCAGGCCAGCGCCAGCTGCGCGGGGGTGCAGCCCTTGGCGGCCGCCACACCCTTGATTTTCTCCACCAGGGCAATATTCTGGGGGTTGAGGGTTGGGGGGGGGGTGCGCGGGGG